CGTCCACCCCATTTGCTTTGCAAGTGTCAACCTCGTTTGGGTTTCGTTGCAGATTGTTCAGTTTACAAACAGAATTCTTAGAAATTTCACACAAGGTGGGATTGGAGTGGATTTGGTATTTGTATTTTATCTTCGAAATCATTAAAACAAATTCAAGTGATAAATAAATTAAAGGTAAAATTGCATCATCTTATCGACTTTTGCACTTCTATTATGATTTTGAGGCCTTGACATTTCGGTACATAACATTTTATTTTTTTGCAAAAAAAATCATTGACCCAGTCTCCAGCAAATTGATGTCAACCTGTCCGACAATTTAATTGACGTGGCACACGTTTCTCAAACAAAAAACCAAGTCAGTTCAGACGACGTCGTTTCATTGTAGTCCCAAAATTTATTTAGTCCAAAACTCCTCTACAGCCTGAAATTTCTCTCTTTGAATTCCTCGATTCCCTTTTTTTTAAAAAAATATTTCAAAGAACCCTAAAAAACTGATAGCTCTAATTGAGGTAGAATAAGGACTACAATGAAGCCCTTTAAGGTGGTAATGTTGGTGAAAAACTATTAGAAAACGAAGGAACTAATGTTCAACCTGCTGTGCATACTGGTGGAGGTGGAAACCCATCATATTGCTGATGGACTATCTGAGACTGACTTAAGAACTGATGGGGAGGAGTGCCTTCTTGCACGGAAAGCAACAAGGACATGAAATATAGTACATGAGCTGACTGTCAAAGTGATCTAGAGATGACAATATCCATCACTGAAAAGCACAGTGAACCATACAGAGAGGATGCATCAGAGTATGAAAACTCAAATGACATTGACTCAGACACATCATTTTCAGATGATGATAGTGAGGCTATTGAAGAAGGAAAAAGAGGAAAATGGTGGTGTATGACCCAAAATGTGATCACAAGGCACTGAAATTTGATCTTAGAATGAGGTTTGAGATTATTGATCAATGTAAAGAGTCCATTCAAAGATATGTTGTGTACAGTGGGTGTAATATCTAGGTTTGAAGAGTGAATCATCGTCAGGTTGAGACTAAGTGCATTGAGGGTTGTCCTTGGAAGATATATGCTAGTGAAATCAAGGCTGAAGGAAGAGTTGCTATCACGACTCCTATTTCAAAGAACAATTGCAAAAGGGACATTAGAGCAAGACATGCCAATGCTAAGTGGATCGCCAAGAATTCATAAAGAAGTCAGGAATGAAGATTCTTGAGTTAAAGGAATACATTCTTGACAAGTATGTTATTCAACTAATGAATTAATTTTAAACTAATTATGAATGATGAATTAATTATTTAGACTAATGAATGATTGCAAAATAAATCCTAACACTACTGAAAGCTTGTTCTAAATAAATCAAGAATGAAAAAAATAGATTCTAGGCTATATTTTCTTCGGAATTATTCTAGCAAAGGTTCCTTATTCATTCAAATCTTATTTCATTCTACCAATCGTAGAATCACTAAATCAATTTAACCTTTCTCCCGAACAAGTTAATTCGTAGATATTAATTGTTATCTGTCTCCTCTCGGTGTCAAGATGAACAACTAACTCCCATAAGTTCCTAAGATTCTAGTTCCCTCACAAGGTCCTATCAACCTATTAATTTGTTTATTCTCTTACGTAACAATCAAATATATTTTCTCGATCTCAAGTCAATCACAAATATGCATAAATACAGGCTCTATATTCACACATTTAATATAAGTACAAGAAATTGATAAACGAAGATAGACCAGAAAGAATAAATAAAATTACTATATAAAATAATTCAAGTACTCATGAATCCTATAATCTCAAAAAGGTTTAGCTACTATACATATTCTCAAAACTCAAAAGAAATAAATCTATGAGTTCAATGAAGAAGAAAAAGATAAAATAAAGAAGAATTATTGTCGATGTTAGTTCCCGAATCTTCAATCTTGACTTTCTCGCCCTCGTGTCTTTCGTGCTTTCTCTTGGCCACCAAAGGTGTCAAAAGTCCCAAAAACGAGCTCTTCAAGTTCCCCTTATACTGTAAGCCGAATATTGGTTGAAATAGGGAAGAAATCGCATCAGAATCCTAATCCTTGTTGAAGTAGTCTGCGCGTCACACGACTCGTGTCATATAGACATATGAGTCGTGTGACTATTCTCTAATTTTCGCCAAACTCCTAGACTCACACGACCAGATCACACGACCCGTGTCACACTGTTACATGACTCATATCACATTCCACATGACCCGGGTGAACAATGCCGTAACGAAAAGCCCATTTTTTTCTCACTCCCACGACTCGTGTCACTGTCCTACACGAGTCGTGTGTCCTCATCAGCATTTGGTTTCCGTCGTTTTTTTTGTCCCGACTCCATTTTTAATGCTTTTTCGGGCATATTTTCTACAAAAATAATGACAAAAAGTACCTCTATCATAGATTAATAAATAAAACATAGTGGTGCACAATCGAATGATAAACACGGCTAAATATCATAATATACCACTCAAAATACATGTAAATATGACGAATGTGAACTTCTCCCCTCCTCTGTGATTCTTTGCATCGTTGGTACTTTGCCCCTGAGAGTAACGGTTGAAGAGGATTGAATCGTTTAAGGGTTCCCCCAGGATAGAAGAGAGACCCTGATCAGCCCCTATCAAAGTTAATTTGGAGTGTAATGGCGGCAACTGACACGAAATTTTTTGTGGCTTGCAGCCAAAGGAAGGCTACTTACCAATTTGGAGTGAATTCGACGACATATATCCATCTCAGAGGCATGTGATTTTTGTAGAGAATACGAGTCGGTGTTGCATGCTTCAAGAGATTGCACATTTACTAAGAATTTGTGGGCTCGTTTACTTACGGTTGGTCATGACCATAATTTTTCGAGCAACCCCTTAAAATCTGGTTGCGTAAAAATTTAATCAAGTCAAGGATGGGAGCGTTTGAAAACTGGAGCAACCTATTTTGTTTTGTTGTATGACGATTGTGGAAGTGGAGGAATGGCCAAATTTCAACCAAAAACAGTAAGTTGCGAGGCACATCGCTTGGAGGTTTTGAGCCTTATTGATAATTAAGTCTGAGTTGCCGCAACCTTTGTGAAGGCAAGGACCGACTTACACGTTATACGAATGATACATTGGTCTCCGCCATATTCGGGGTGGATTAAAGTAAATACAGGTCCACGAGATTGAATAGTGCTGGAGGGCTACTTCGGGACGAATTGGGTAGATGGATTGCGGGTTTCTCATGAATATTGGATATTACACCATTACGAATTGGGTAGATGGATTGCGGGTTTTCTCATGAATATTGGATATTGCACGATTACGAGCTTTGGGGCCTTCTTCAAAGGCTGCAGATGGCATGGGACATGGGCTATCGCCATGTTATTGCGGAGGTCGACAGCTAATGAGTGACGAAAACAGTTCTTGGCATCGAGGATAAATTTGGGGTCAATCAAGCGGTGGTTAAGGTCTACCGCAGCTTGACTCAAGAGGAATTGAAACATTAGGATCCAACATGTGCACGGGAATGCTAACTTTACAACTAATCATATGACGAGCTTGGCGACATCCTCTTCGATCCTGTCAAGTTCTAGGATAATTTATCTTCCCCACTTTTGGCCTCCTTCAAAAACGTAAAAAACATAAAAAAATACAAAATGTTGGGATCGAAATTGACTGCAACGAGTAGGATAAAAAAACTCTCTCTCTCTCTTTAGCGGCGATAAAAAAAAAAGAAAACCTACATCCCTAAATTCCGATCGATTTTGGCCTCCCCACCGGCGCGTGTGCCGCTCCCGCGGTGCGAACCGGCAAGGTTCACCCTGGTCAGCCTGTTCCTCGGCGGGTCGGTGGTCACCCTCTTCGCGTGGGTTTCTTCCTTTTTCAGGATGCCATGGCGGAAAGTAGGTGGTGGGTGTCGACATGGCGGTGGAACGAGGGGCTGGGTTGGTGGCTGCTTGCGGCCGTCGGCTTAGGGCCTGAGCCGTGGTATCCTTGTTTTCGGTCGTCCCT